CTGTATTTATTAGTCCCCCCACCGCCCCCCCAGCCCCAGAACCCCTCCACCATCCCAGCGATGCTCTGTATTTGTTAGTCAGTCCCCCCGCTGCCCACCCAGCCCCAGAACCCCTCCACCATCCCAGCGATGCTCTGTATTTGTTAGTCAGTCCCCCCGCTGCCCACCCAGCCCCAGAACCCCTCCACCATCCCAGCGATGCTCTGTATTTGTTAGTCAGTCCCCCCGCTGCCCACCCAGCCCCAGAACCCCCGTGCCACTCTCCTGTCTATGGCTTTGCCTAGGTGCTTACAAGTGGAATTGTGCAGCCTTGTCCTTTGGTCTCAGGCCGCGTTCCCTTCGCATCCCTGCTCTCCCGTACAAGGACGCCACCACGTGGGGGTTAGACACCGCCCTGCTCCAGCACAAACCTATTTGAATTTAGTGAATTAACCTGCGACCCCATCAATCAGTTGGGTTCGTATCCTGAGACACTGGGGGTTAGGACCTCAATGTGTGAATTCCGGGGGCACAAGTCAACCCCTAACAGGTACTGGGGACCCTAACAGATGGAGGACAGACGGCCATGCTGGAGGGCCGAGGGGGAGGGATGGGTGAGTAAATTCTTGTTTTGTCAACCCTTGACCCCTGTTTCCTGACAGAGGCCATTTCCCTGGCGTATTTCCCCAGCTTGGCTGACTCACCAGGAGGAAGGGAAGGGCAGGAACCACTGCCGCCGGCCAGGGACCTCTGCCTCTGTCCAGGCCTAGCGCAGCCTCCAGGGGGCTCCTCGCACCGCTCAAGTGTCCTGCCTGGCCAGTGGGCCGCCACTCAGCCCCAGGGCCCACTCACCCAGAGGCCCAGCGTCCCAGCTGGGAATCTCGGCAGGGCACTCTGCGACCCACACGCAGTGAGCACTCCGCCCTCCTTCTGCAGACAAGTACTAAGCCCACTGTGTAGCAGACCCAGTTCTAGGCCCCAGAGATACAGCAGCAAGCAGAAGGGATAGCCTCTGCCCCTGGGAAGGACACGTTCACATGGAAGGCAAGAAATGAAATGCACAGTCCTCTCCGGGTAGCAACTGGGACGGAGGGAGCAGAGCAGGGGAGGAGGAGAAAGCATGCTTGGGGTGGCTGGGGCGTTTCCTGTGTAAACGAGAAGCCATCTCTGATGAGTGACTTTGGAGAAGCCCAAAAGTAGGGAGGGAATCGGCCATGGGGACCCTGGGGGACAGTGACCCAGGCTGAGGGAAGTGCCTGGGCCAGAGCAGAGAGGCAACGATTGCATTCAAGAAACAGTCAAGTCCACGGGACCAGCAGTTGGACTCCCATGTAGTTGACCGTGGTTCGAGTCCTGGACCCGGTGGCTTAAACTCACGCTGGGTGCGTGTGCGTGCGTGCCCAATATCTCGAGAGGAGGATGGAGGAGAAGGGATTGCAGCGTGGCCAACTCCCCTGGGGGTGATTTCCCGTCTCTCTTTCTGGCGAGCGCACACGCCCTATAGCAAAAACCTCTCCAAAGAAAAAAAAAAAAGAAGAAACAGCCAAGTCCAGGGTGTGTGTGCAGGGGCAGGAGGGAGGGCGCCTTGTGGTGGGAGTGCTGGCAACGTAGCCCTACAGAGCTGTGCTTCCCCTGGAGAAACTAAGGGTAAAAGGAGGATTAGGGGACTAGCAGATGGCACTGTGGTTATGTTGCTGGACTCCCACATGGCTGACCGTGGTTTGAGTACCAGACCTGGCAGCTTGAAACTCACACTGGGCATGGGTACATGCCCAAAATTCCAGGAGGAGACTGGAGGAGAAGGGACTGTGGTGTGGCCATCCCCCAGGGGAGTGATTTCTCATCTTCTGTCTCTCTGTCTTTCTCTGTCTCTCTGGTGAGCATAGGTACCCTATAGCAAAAATCTCTTTTAAAAAATTGTTTTTAAATAAGGAATGAGAATAAAACATCCCTTGCCCTCAGGGAACCTCCAGCTCAGGGTCAGAATTAGGGCAACCCCAAAGGAGCTCTACTGACCACGGAATTAATGGTGAAGAAGCTCAGCCCTGAGAGACAGGATGCTTTGCCAGGTCTGGGTACTGGCAGGTCTCAATCTAGAGAACTGGTTTTCAGTGTTGGTTGAAGACTCAGAACCCAAAGGAGTTGCTTGTTTGCTTGTTTATCTTCCATTTAAATTGAGAGGGGAAAGTGCGGTGATTTCAAGGTTAACCACTTCTGCTTCAGAAGCCGGGCTGACTTTGCCCAGCCGAGCCCTGCTGCAGACCGCAGGGCATGGATGTGTGCATACATGTACATGCATGTGTGCGTGTGTGTGTGTGTGTATGTGTGTGTGTGCAAAGGTGCATAAACTTACCTTCCCCGGCTGATCACACAGTCCGAGAAGCAGACATCTCCCTCCTGCCATCTTGCCTGGCTCCCTTCAGCATGGCTTTCCTGGGGTAGTTCTCTCCAGGAGGGAAGGACAGGGATGGGTACAGGATAAGGGGAGGGGTAGGGAGGACACTGGAGCGTTTGCAGTGAAAGCAGATGTACACAAGCCACTCAGGCGAGTCACAGAGGCACAGGAGGACCAGGACTGAAATGTGGGTGGAGCCAGCGTCACTGTGAGCCCTCGGTGCTCTGAGGGTTTGGGAGGGCAGCTCCAGGTCAGGACAAGTCCTGAAGGGGTGCCACGTGAGGAACCAGCCAGAGCTGAAAACAGGCAGTATTTCCTTGCCGAGCAGGAGCCTCAGCCTCTGAGGAGTTTGTGTGGGGAGAAGGCCAGGCAGGGAGCCAGGGAATCCTGGGAGGAAGGCTGGGCCTGGGGAGGGAAGGGCTGAGGTGTCCAGGCAGCTCTGAGGGCAGTCTGTGTCCCACACTTCTCAAGTGGCAAGCCCAGTGGGGCAGCCCCCAAATCTCCTCCCAAGAGGAGGAGCCCAACGGATGTGGCCTGGGGGGTAGAATTAATGGCCTTCCCTGTGTAGGGGATGTCTTCCATAGGATTCTCATGGTCCAAAAGGTGGGTGTTTTCTTTCCTTTTTGACAGTTTATGAAAACAAAGTTCCAAAAAGATTAGTGTTACTCCGGAGCCTCCCAGCAAGGAAGTGGCAGAGCCGGGACAGGCCCCTGCACTCTGCCTCCCAGTGGCCACTCCTTCTGCCACCCTGACCTCCTCTGGAAGGCTGCAGGGCTGTGGTGGGAGGGCAGCAGACATTCCGTGTGCCCCCATGCTGATGCTGAGGGGGCTCACAGGGGAGGAGAGCATGCTGTCTACTCACCAGAACCGCCCACCCGCAAGCAGCGCCTCCTGATCCAAGACAGAGCTGATCCAAGACAGAGCTGGGTGTTGCGGAGAGTCTGAGCCTGCTGGGGTGCGGTCGTGCTGTGTGTGCCCTTTAGTGTGGGAAGGAGGAAACCCCGACCTTGGGAAGCGCGAGAGAACAGGCCCGCCAGCCACCACGGATGCCACCAGTCCATAACTGGATTACTGAGTCATCCTACAATCCCAGGTACCGCACGGGGACAGCTGGACAGAGGCCGTCAGGGGACAGAGGCCGTCAGGGAACCGGGGCCTGGGCACCAGCCAATCAAGCATGCAGGACAAGAGCCAATCTGGGCACCACCTCCTGGGCCTCCACGGAGTCAGAGAGAGGGTAATGAGAACTGAAGAATTGGGGACTGCTCCTTGTTATAGTAATTACAAACGTATTCATAATGATGCTATTAGGAACCGCTATGCTTTATGCTTGTTTTTTTTTTTTAATTGACAGAGGGCACATGAACTCACCAAAGAGGGAGAAAGAAAGCGACCCTCGCCCCAATCGGGCATGGTCACACCTCAATTCTGTTTCCTCCATTTCTCTATCCCATCGGGATGTAGGACACACATACACATACACAAGAACACACACGAACACACACGAACACATGCACCCAGCATAGTTTCCAAGTCCCCCAGGCAGGAATTCAAACCATGGTCGGCCATGTGGGATCCAGCTCCCAGTGCGATGTGCTTAATCACTGTGCTCTGGGCTTGGCCCACCAGCCGTCCTTATTGAGTGCTGCACGGTGTTAAACAGTGTGTGGCATTACACAACTAAATCCTGACAGTGACCCTATGAAGAGGTGCTCTTATTCCCCTTTTACAGATGAGGAGTCGGGCTCAGAGAGGTGACATAACTTACCCTACACTGTACAACTAGTGTGTGACAGAGCCCGGACCCAAACCGAGACCACACGTACAATCATGAGGAACTGACGCTCCTGCATCCACTGTACTGATAAGGAAATACCTCCAAAGTGCAATGCAGACATTTTCGAATGCTAGTGTAACAAACGGCCAAAGTGCAATGCACTACAGAAGACACACGTGCCTCTCGCTGGGCTGAACGGGAGCTCTGTGCAGGGCTGTGCTCCTTTCTGGAGCATGTAGGGCACAGTCTGTTTCCTCGCCTTTTCCAGCTCAGAGGTCGCCCACATCCCTTGGCCACAGTCCCTGCCTCTGTCAAGTCAGCATTGCCACATCCTTCCCTGACCCTTGGTCACATCTGCCTCTGACCACTGCCATAACCCCCACCCGATCTCAGGGCTTAGACTTGATCCCATCTGCAAAGTTCCTTTTGTCATGTAGGCTGACACATGCATGGGCTCCAGGGACCACGGATGTCGAGGATGTGGACATCTTTAGGAGCCACCATTCTACCTACGACATGTAATACAGGGGGAGAAAGCAAGGTTCAGACCAATAGCAACGGGCTTTTTCTGATATTGGAAAAATGGAGTGAGGGAGGCCAGCCGTGTAGCCTAGGGGCTAAGGGAGCCACATCTCACATGCCAATTGCAATTTGAATCCCAGCCCTGGCTACCTGAAAAGGGCACCACCCACTGGGGAGTGCTTGCTTTCTCTCTCTCTTTCTCTCTCTCTCTCTCTCCCACCACACTCTCTCTGTGTCTGTCTCTCGTGAATGCATGTGCCTTCTGGCAATTACATAAAGATGATGGGAGGCAAATAATACTACGTATTAGTATTTGTTGTCTTCGCACAAGAAAAATACATAGGGCCAGCTGGTGGCGTGAAGTTAGGATGGCTGTATTCCACATGGCCAGCGGGGCAGTTGGAGTGCAGGACTCAGCAGCTTGTGATACTGCATTTGTGTGTGCACAGTAGTCCAAACGGAAGAGAAATGGAGGAGAAGGGAGAACAGTGTGGCCATCCCCACAGAGTGTGCTTAAGAAGAAAAAAGGAGAAAAGGAGAAGGAGGAGGAAGGAGAAGAAGGAGGAGGAGGAGGAAGAAGAGAGGAAGAAGAAGAAAAAGAGGAAGAGGAGGAGGAAGAGAAAGAAAGAGAGGAGAAGAAGAAAAAGAACAAAAGAAAGAGAGATAGAGAGAAAGAAAGAGAGAGAGAAAAGAAAGAAAGAAAGAAAGAAAGAAAGAAAGAAAGAAAGAAAGAAAGAAAGAAAGAAAGAAAGTCTCCAGCCTTGAAAAACCAATACCTGGTTCCTGCAATCCCAGAGATAGAAGGAGCAATGGAGATGCTGCGATGCCAGAGATAGAAGGCAGGAGCTGCTGCCCCATCTATGCTGACACAGTTCTGCCCCTCACCCATTCAGGACCTACGGGCAGGGCCAAGTCAAGCTGCTCAGCTTGAGCTCATCAGCAGGGATTCCCCACCCAAGCTGCTATGGGGAAGGAGGGTGCTCCAGCCCTCACAGTGTGCTAGTGCACCACACAAGTAGTCTGCCACCTTACATTCCACTTGTCAGCTCAGCCTCCATTCACACTGACAGCAGTTAGGTTTCAGTATTCAAGAACCGAATACCTGAAAATAGGAAAATTTGGAGGAATTCTTTCCACATAACTCCCTTGGTGGTAAAAGAAGAAAAACTCCCCTGTGAAAACCTGAACCCAAAACTCCTGCTATGGATTCCACACTCCCAACCACAGCAGTGGCAGGAAATTGACACAGAGCTTACACATATCATAGAGAAGTGCAGGAACACACAGCTACAGAAACGTGCTCCAAAGAAGAATGAAAGTGGGTATACCATCAGATGACTAAAAATCAAAGCAGAGCCCCAAGAAATAGTAGATAATCAGGAAATACTATACTCTCAAAGAATCATAACTCCTCACCAACAATGCATAAAGCAAAAGAGATCACAGAAATATCAGAAAAAGAATTCGGAATATTCATTGCAGTAAAACTTAATGATAAGCAAGAGAAAACAACCAATTCTAGGAGAAAACAACCAATCCTTCCATGACTTGAAAAGGAATTCCATAAAGAGATAGGCACACTGATAAAGAATCAAACACAATTTCTGGAGATAAAGAATATGATGCAGGAAATCAAAACTTCCCTCAAAAGTATCAACAGAAGATTAGACCATGCAGAAGAAAGAATCTCTGACCTTGAAAACAAAACTTCCAATTAAGTCCAAGCAACTAAAAAGAATAGAAGAATAACCATTAGAAATCAGGACAATATACAGAAAAGCCTAGACACGATTAAATGGCCAAATGTCCACATAATTAGGCAAAGAGACAGGTAAAGATATAGAAAATATCTCTCATATGGGACCAGCAGACGGCATAATGACTACATCGCCGGACTCCCATGTAGTCGACTGCAGTTCAAGTCTTGAACCTGGTGGCTTAAACTCACGCCAGGAACATGTGTGTGTGTGTGTGTGTGTGTGTGTG